GATAACCGTGGCTCTAGAGCTGATAACTTCAGTTGTTATACATCTTATAGTATATGCTAATACACGTCCAACGTTCTTGAAACGTCCTGCAGGTCAGACGCATTTCGATAACCGTGGCTCTAGAGCTGATAACTTCAGTTGTTAAAGAATTAGAAAAATAGAAGGTAACATCTATATTTAGTTTTCTAGAATATACACAAAATATTTGACTAAAGAATCTGGACTACAGTTTCAGCATATTAAACGGTTTGTAACTGTGAAAGAAAATTGGAATTTTCTGATCTCATTAATTTAAGTATTCGCAACCCAATGTGCACACCCAGCTCTCACGTACGCTAAAACTCGTGAGTAGTGTGAAAACATATAAATAGAACTTATTTTCTAAAACCGAATAAATTTAAATAGTAACACCAAAAGAAACACGAAACAGTAATAGCAAAATAATTAAAATTGTGAAGGTTCAAAAAGTAGCTTCATTAATTTTTTATGTAAACGGCAGGTAAAAAACTATTATTGTAAAATGTAATGTTTCCGAGTTGTTTTTAAAGTCACGACACTGGAACTACGTATACGATCTCAGTACAGATTCCAGTACCACCGTTTACAGTGATCATCCCATCTCTAGCATGAGATAATTAAAACTTGAATCGATTATTAAGCGCAAACCTTTCAAGTGTTTATATTCAACAGGTTCTTCATTACAAACGGGAAGGGAATAGTCTTCTTCTATTTAATTTTTCAATTTAACACAGGAATGATGAAAGAAATATCATATAAAGAAAGAATTCCGAACAGTTGGGAATATGTTTTAACCCAGCAACCTGTGGACAAATTTTAACCGGAAAGATTCGTGTATGTGGGTGTTAATAAATTATTTTTTAACAGTTACCTTCTTTAAATTGAATTCCAAACATTATATACATTTGTTCTGGGAAAACTGAGCGTTACAAAGTGGGATATACATAACGTATTTCGAAGATGGATTTTAACAGTCGTCCAATATCTTCGATAAATCTGCTAATAATTATTGTAAATATAAGATAGGTGGCGAATGCTAATCACAACAAGAACTTAAAACTCATTCTTCGTAGTTTTATAACGTTTCTTGTTTAATAAAAAACTAGATATTCTATGTCTGACATTTAAAGTCACATGTTGAACATAAAAAGTTTACACACGTAGAAACACACACACACATTTGATATAAAATGGGTCTAATGTCCTAATGTCCCGCCCGGTGACTCGGTGGTATGTTTGTAGGCTTACAACGCTAGAAACCGGGTTTTGATACAAATGGTGAGCACAGCATAGGTAGCCTATTGTGAAAGTTTGTGCTTAACAACAACAACAATAACTATCTAATATACTTTTCTTTGTGGTAGATCTAATTTCTGCTATATAGGATCGCCTTAAAATTACATTTTGATTGACAAAAAGGAAGAGAAAATTATATTCGCCAAAAATTTAAGTGGTCAACATCTTACATTAGTAATCTTTCATTTATTTAATTATAAAATATCAAAGAGAAGAGGACATGGCAGTTGATGTCATTCTAAGATAAACAAAAGTTCAGCGAATTGTTTTTTTTTCCCTCCAACATCCAATGATCTATCATTGCAGGATAGGAGCTGGCGATTTATTTTTATTTCTATTCTTAAGACAGAAGAAACTATATTTTACGATTGTTATTGATATATTGTTTCAATCAAATAATGATCATAAATCCTCTCATTCTTATATCATACCCTAATTAATTGAAGCGTATACGTATCACTAGCTGATTTCTACCCATTAGTCGATGTTCACCTGCTCGTTTTTATAGTTCGTCCACTAATACATGCTCAAAATAAACGATCAGGATAATAGGACATAACACCTGCTTATTTTCATTATTTCTCCTTTTTAATACCTAATCAGGATAAAAGGATAGCATCTTTATTTCTGTTATTTGTCAGCTAATTTTTGATCAAGAGAGAGAAATTAAATTCCTCCGTTAATCCATGGTCAGGACAAAAGGAACAAGTCAAAGCACCTGTTTATTTCCTATAGACTCATGATCAGTGTTAGACCCAGATCTAACATATGTTTATTTTACTAATGCGTCACTAATCCAGAATCATGCATTGTAACTCCTGTCCACTGATTCATGGCCAAGTTTATAAGGAACTAAACAGCAGCAATACATAATTAGCCTTCTGATATTTCCTTTTCCTTGATAGTTTGTTCGAGTATTGGAAAATTACACTTTCCGAATTCATCAAGTCATTATGTGATAATCACAGAAAAACATAATTAACATAACAGTAACATTAAAAATATAAATCAGTGTATTGATGAAAGGATTTTTTCCTGTGTTTATCATACAGTGAATGAGAAGCAACAGGCGGTGTTGAAAAGTGAGCAACACCTTTCGGAACAACAGCAAGTTCTGAGAATTTCTTTTAAAGTGGACATCAGCAACGTGTTCAACATGATTATTCACTCTCCTTAGGACTTTTGCTATCTTCTTGGTTTCCAGTCGACGTTTCGAAATCAAGAGAAACGGCAGAAGAAATCCACAGAAAACTCAGTTCCCACAGCAGCGCCCAATGAAAACCTTGAACAAAGCGTTCTTCATTATAATAGCTTCAGTGTTACCTGACTCATAGCTACTGTTATAATAATTCCTAGTATTCAAATTTTCCGAACTCTTAAGCATATTTAATGCAAAGGAATTCATAAGGAAAACTTGCGAATGTTCAAACGACGTCTTAAACTTACATGTTGTATCTTTAATTTCCTTTAAAATACGGCAATTAAAAACGACTGTTAGGTTTTATGTAGATGTATAAAACACGCGAGTCAAACTGTAAGGCTGCCACGTTTTTAAACGGTATTTCTTGTTTAGGAAAAAAGGTTAAGGAGAAAGCCGAGTGGAGCGACAACGACGCGCGGCGGGACGGTGCACGAAGCAGCCAGGGTTCCCTTATCTTTACATATACATGTATAGGCATATCGAAAAAAAAAACAACAAAAAACAAAAAACGTGGGAAACACGACAACGTTTGGGCCAATTCAAGGCTAAGATTGATACAGACATGGAGTATCCGAAAGGCCCCTCGAAATGTTGTTAGATATGATGGCAAGCCGTCATTACAATTATGTTAAAGATTAATATAACAAAGTATTTTAATGTAATTTAAAATGTTTATTCGCATAGAAAACCACATTATTTTGTGCTGATAATGTGTGTGTATAAAAATCAGCATATCTTATTATTCGAATTCAAATTTACTGTACGAAAAAATATGCTTTATTTCCATTTACTTGACCAAAAAAAGTCTACATTTGTAAATAAATATTGGCCTCAGCCAAAATAACTCCACAACATGCATTTTTTTACCCTTTTAAAGCCAGATTGTAATCCGACGGACTTCCAGAATCACACGATTTAAAAATTGTATTGACTTCAATATAAGCATTTTCGATATGTTGGTTTGTACTTCAGTCAGGATAAAGAGTGACTTCTTCAATATATCGGAAAGTTGTGGAAAACACAATGACTGGGTAAGTGACTAAACTTACTTTTTATGTACTTGCATAAACCTGCTATGGTGTAACATTACATTAGAGTTTGGTGATCGTTAGAAATACTTGTTGATTTACAAAATCAAAATGTTGCCCTTATTCTCATTATTATATATGTTAGCAATTAAGAAACTGAAAGATATAGTGATATAATTGCTAAGAAATTACTTGGTCAGGTTTGCGTTCACTGGTTAACGTTTAACGGGCTTTTTACACCCATACTGTTCCAATATAGAATTCTGTTCACTGCTTGACTTTAAAGGGCTTCTTACACCCACACGATTCTTATGTAGAATTCCATTCGCCTCATAATGTTTAATGGGCCTTTTACACCCACATGGTTCATATATAAAATTCCGTTCACTTTTTAACGGGGTATTTTTTTTTTATTCCTTGCAGTGAATCAGTTTCTCGCTTACAGAAGGTGAAACGAATTTAATATTGGAAATCTAAATGTGCAGTAGCAAATTACTAACTACTCAAATAAAACATTGAGAGATTATTTTGACAGTTTAAAAAATTAATATTTTAATGCAAATTAAATTACCTTTGTATGACATATTAGGCACATAGAAACAAATTTATACTACTTCATTTGCAAATTTACAACAGTTGTTTTATGAAGAAAGTTGGGTTTAAAGTTTAGTCATTCGAGTTAAAACAACAAGAAAGCAATATAATGCATTTCTAAATGTTTACACATACAACTTACACTGCACAAATAGAAAATAAAGAAATACATATACTCGTAACAAAGCAACGAACGAGAAATCAGGATTATTCCGCTAAGAATTAGTGGTAAGAGCAAGATGAATGTTAATAAAACTCTGTATATAATATCAGAAACGAGATCTCCATCCAATATCTTGAAAGTCTTATCGAGGAACAAAGACTCGGTCATTAATAACTGGATAATTCCGCTAAGAATTAGTGGTAACAGCAAGATGAATGAAGACTGTTAATAAAACTCTGTATATAATATCAGAAACGAGATCTCCATCCAATATCTTGAAAGTCTTATCGAGGAACAAAGACTCGGTCATTAATAACTGGATAATTCCGCTAAGAATTAGTGGTAACAGCAAGATGAATTAAGACTGTTAATAAAACTCTGTATATAATATCAGAAACGAGATCTCCATCCAATATTTTGAAAGTCTTATCGAGGAACAAAGACTCAGTAATTAATAACTCCAACAAGAGAAAGAGCAAGTTCCTGAATTACTATTCTAATGTCTAGCCCTAAACTCACTGCCAAGTTATCCACGCCTTTCCTTAATATCATACAAATGAAACATACTAGAAAATATCTGTCGATTTCTGGGTACAGACCAATAAAACAAACGTTAAACAAGAAAGACTGGGTACAGATCAATCAAATAAACGTTAAACAAGAAAGACTGGGTACAGATCAATCAAATAAACGTTAAACAAGAAAGACTGGTATTGACCAATCAAACAAACGTTAAATAAGAAAGACTGGGTACAGACCAATCAAACAAACGTTAAACAAGAAAGACTGGGTACAGACCAATCAAACAAACGTTAAACAAGAAAGACTGGGTACAGACCAATCAAACAAACGTTAAACAAGAAAGACTGGGTACAGACCAATCAAACAAACATCAAACAAGAAAGACTGGCATCACAAGTTAACTTTCTGTGGAACTGTTCTGGTGACTGGTTTTAATTGTTGAATTATTCTAGACATTACTTGAAAATTAACGCTGTGTGTTACTGTGTTCTGATGGTATGAAATGAAGGAAAGTCAAATTTCCGAAAATATTAGCAATATTGGGTTTCTTTTCTGGTGATAGCCTTCTTCTGTTTATACTACGTGCTTTGAAATACCCAATAGTGTTATACAAACAAGACTATTGAGTTACGAAAAGCAAGTTAGTATTATGCCAAGTGAATTGTTGAGTAAAGAAAACCCATTAGTATTATACCAACTGAATTGCTGAGTTAAGAAAAACCCATTATTATTATACAAATGGATTGCTGGGTTAAGAAAAACGTATTATTACTGTAACAAGTGGATTAATGAGTTAAGAAAAACACATTAGTATTATACCAAGTGTTTTGTTGAGTTGAGAAAAACAATGTGGAAAAAAAATTAAATAAATTCTTAAATGTTCAAAATAGCCATGTTCCTTATAGGAAATTATGGGGGTGGGTGTAAGTAAAAACCCGTTTTGGCTCACAAAGGGTTTAAAGGACATAATTAAAAAAAAACGTTATAAATATAAAAAGTTTAAATTGACTGCAAGAAGACTTGGAGGACTATAGGAGATCAAGAGAGCTGGTCATACGGGAAATTAGGAAAAGTATAGAAAAACGTTGGCTGCAAATGTAAATATTAATTGTAAGGATTTCTTCAAAAACATTATGAGTAATCAAAATGTCACGACAGGAATAGGGTCTTTGAAGGGTGATTCCTGAAGGTTAATATCTGATGACTATGGGATGGCTAAGTTGTTATATTTTACTCTTTTTAAAAAACGTTTGCTAATGAAGATTTAAGTAATGTTTCCCATCCTGAACATTTGCAAGATGGAAACAAGAATGAACAAGATGATCACATTCATTCTGAACTTGGTATTCTGATTGAACAGTCTTTTAAGTCATCCAAGCAATGAACTGTTGCTAGTGGCAAGGCAAATAGGATTTCAGTTTGTATCTACATAAATATGTTATAGTGTCGTTGTATAGGTCATTTGTTAAGCTACATTTGTTCATTTGACATATGTTCAGTCTTAGGCTCCTTACCTTAGGAAAGACATTGAACTGTTGGAAAGGGTTCAGAGGAAGACTGCTATGATGATGCCTGGTAGGGAAAGGTTGTCATATGAGAGTAGGTTAAGATCTCTGAAGTTGTTTTCTCTTTAGAAAAGAAGAGTTAGAGATATCTAATTGAGGTATTTAATATTGTTAATGGAATTGACAGTGTTGATGCCTCATCTTTTTCCGTATTTATTGGTCAGAATAAAGAACACAGATATAAATTTTGGCAGAGCTGGAGTCATCTTCAGCTAAGACAGCTTTATTTTTCTAAAAGGGTGATTGGCCTTTGGAATGGGTTGCCTTCAGATGTGGTAGATGCAAATAATTCAAGGAAGTTTAAGGGAAACTTGATTAAATATTTGAATGATTAGGGCAGGTTTTGAGATTTTCAGTGTTCAGTTTAATTTAGTGGAAAGGACGGCCTAGATGGACCAATAAGTCCTTTATTGTCTTTTAATGTTATGTTTAATTATTACACCTTGGAGCTAGGACAACAAACGGCTGTTTTAAAAAAAGCAACAACAGACCAGTACAGTAAGTTAATCTTTTGCTAGTACTCCAAAAATGTAACTTATTTTCACGTTATTAGTTCCAGAGGCGAGAACAGCAAGCTAGTCTTATCCTATTAGTCCAAAGGTCAAAACAGCAAGCTAGTCTTATCCAATTAGTCCACAGGCCAGAACAGCAATCTAGTCTTATCCTATTAGTCCACAGGCCAGAACAGCAAGTTAGTCTTATTCTACTAGTCTACAGGCCAGAAGAGTAAGTTACTCTTATACCATTTACTAGTCAACATATCAGAAGAGTAAGTTGGTTTTATACTACTTACTAGTATACAGGTCAAAATAGTAAGATAATATTATAATACTAGTCTACAGGCCAAAACAGTAAGTTAACATTATAATACTAGTCTCCAAGCCAAAACATCAAGTTAATATTATAATACTAGTCTACAGGCCAAATCAGTAAGTTAACATTATAATACTAGTCTACAGGCCAAAACAGTAAGTTATTTTTTATAATACTGGTCTACAGAGCAGTAAACAAACTTGTGGTATGTGAATGTGCTTCTTTTCATGTCAGTGTTTTATGAACTGGAATCTAAAGTAAGGGGAACTAATTCATTGTTATCTTATTTATCGATCTAAAAAAAAAAGACAACAGAATGGTTTTACATCCATCTAAAAGAAGAAAACAGAATGGTTCTACATTCATCAAAAAGAAGACAACAGAATGGTTCTACACTCATCAAAAAGAAGACAACAGAATGGTTCTACACTCATCAAAAAGAAGACAACAGAAAGATTCTACGTCCATCTAAAAGAAGAAAACAGAAGGGTACTACATTCATCAAAAAGAAGACAACAGAAAGATTCTACGTCCATCTAAAAGAAGACAACAGAAAGGTTCTACACCCATCTAAAAGAAGACAACAGAAAGGTTCTACATCCATCTAAAAGAAGACAACAGACGAGTTCTACATATTTCGTAATATAGACTATTTGCATGTATCATACGTCATCCGTGAATTACATGTAATTGAACTCTATACAACTTTACTTGAAATTAACGTAAAAACCTATTGTGTAAGGCTACACGGTCAGGATTAAACGTTAACGTAATGTTGCTAAATTTTATATGTACATTCACTTCTCTCACAAAGTTCTTATAATTTGCGATGATAACTTGTAATCTATCGTTTATTTTAAACACAATAGTACCAATGTTGAGCCTGGACACATATTACAGTCCTCGAGTTCCACGCGTGCTCCCAAAGATTGAAAATACTAATACAAGGACGAGTAAGAAATATGTTATAAATGTTTGTTATGGTTGACTGAACATCTACCAAAACTTTAGCTATTTTCTATTTCAGGAAGATTAATAATATGTTATAAATGTTTGTTATGGTTGACTGAACATCTACCAAAACTTTAGCTATTTTCTATTTCAGGAAGATTAAAAATATGTTATAAATGTTTGTTATGGTTGACTGAACATCTACCAAAACTTTAGCTATTTTCTATTTCAGGAAGATTAAAAATATGTTATAAATGTTTGTTATGGTTGACTGAACATCTACCAAAACTTTAGCTATTTTCTATTTCAGGAAGAATAAAAATATGTTTTTCTACGAAAATCCTGAGCAATTTTAAGAGTAATTAATCATTTATTGTAGACATATATCCAAGTTTGTCGACACCTATGTCCAGCTGAAGTATAAATTCTTTTAATATAAACTTATTCAAATCCATTCACAATTGAAGATTCTCCGTCATCTCCTGTATTATCAAGCTTTTAAAATAAATAACTCTTTCGCTTTGTTGTGTTCTTTATATGTCCCAGGTTGAACAACTCTATTTGCTGCCTTAACCTGAGTTTCACTGTGTGAATGTTTACTATGATAATGATAAATGTTTTGAAAATACGTTACAATTTTTTGGATAATATGTATATTATAAAAGGAAAAAATTAGACTTAAACCTAGTACGGGACTTGTATATTATATGCCAAGTCCAATAAATGATCTAATAAACTCTACATCAACTTATAATGACATAATCATCTATATATTTATTTAACTTGTTTTAAAGACAGCAATTGCATTACATAACTTCTTCACATGATTAGAAACAAAAGGTTTAATTATATATTATTAGCCTACAGGCTGGAACAATGAGTAGAATTATATTACAAGAATAAAGGTCAGCACAGCAGAATCTACATTGAATTAGATTTCCCTTTCAATTCTAATATTACATGTTGGGTAAATATATTTAAAATACAAGTATGAAGCGATTCATCTAATTAAAGTATTTCATGAGTCAACGAAACCTGCTTCAAAACGGCCACAAAATAATAGATTATATTGTTTGTGTTATAAACATCGTTAAAAATATAAAACACTCTGCGGTCAGCTTAAAGATTTTTCCTGTGATATTGTACTACCGAGAACGTACAAAAACTTTTATTCGTTCCTCGTTAAGTACAAAGCTATCCTAACTGTAGAGATCGGACCCCCTTCACAGACGAAGGCACATCAAAATTACCGTAGAGATCGGACCCCCTTCACAGACGAAGGCACATCAAAATACCGTAGAGATCGGACCCCCCCCCCTCACAGATGAAGGCACACCAAAATTACCAGCCCGGCATGGCCAGGTGGTTAGGGCGCTCGACTTGCAATTTGAGGGTCGCGGGTTCGAATCCCCCTCCCACCAAACATGCTCGCCCTTTCAGACGTGGAGGCGTTATAATGTGATGGTCAATCCCACTATTCGTTGGTAAAAGAGTAGCCCAAGAGTTGGCGGTAGGTGGTGATGACTACCTGCCTTCCCTCCAGTCTTACACTGCTAAATTAGGGACGGCTAGTGCAGATAGCCCTCGTGTAGCTTTGCGCGAAATTCAAAAACAAACAAACCAAAATTACCGTATAGATCAGACACCTTCACAGACGAAGGCACACCAAAATGAAAATTATTTCAAGCCCTACAAAAATTCCTTAGCCCACTCGTAGTCTAAGAACTATTTTTTCTATCACAATAGGGTGTTATACAATAATGATCACCTCACCTGTTGTATAGTAATGTAAAATGTATAGATATTTACATAAAATACAATTATAATTACTGTCGTTATGGCCTATATAACTGTTTTAAGAGTCCCTTCAGCTGGAGCTGGTGTTTAACTATTGCAATATTTACATTTGTAATTTCACGTATCCTGTGTATGTCATTGACATTTGCTGAGGCAAAAACCCAAAAGATCAAGCATCTCTTTGCGGAGTGTAGTTTGACGTATACATATTAATTAGCACAACAATCTGTAAGAATGTGGCGAGCATCGTGTGATCAATGACCATTACATAAGAGATATATGTAAGTACAAATACCTAGGGCTTCGCTTATCTTCCTGAGGATAAAGACTTATAAAAGTATACAGCCAGGGCGCTAGGTGTACTTTGCTTGTAAATTACTACATAATTATACTCGCCTAAATGAGAGCCACTAATAAGGAAAAGATAAAACTTTTTTCACATTATTCATTTTGGCCACATCTCAACAGATCGTATAGATTCAGAACACGTTAATTCATATATATTCAGCATTATATTAACTATAACCAACATACTATCTTGCGAATAAAATAAACTAGTAGCAGGACTGGTACCATATTATACGGATCTTTTTGACGTTTTTCATACATTCGTGAAACAAAGTTAATAATACCAGAACTTTCAACTTATTTATATTTATATTTCTTTCATAAATATCAAGACTGAAATGCGATACTGGTTTACTATTACAACTGCACATATTAACTATAAGTGTGGTATTAAACCATCAAATTATACTTCCAATACAAATTTGAGCCATGAAGGCTTCATTATAGAAATGGCAATTTACAAGAAACAAGGTGTATTTTAAAATTATGTATATTGTCTCCACTATAATATTGTTAGTTTTAAATAAAAGGTGTATACTGTCAAGACGTACACAATGAATTACTTATATTGTCTCCACTGTAATAATTTAGTTTTAAATAAAAGGTGTATACTGTCAAGACGTACACAATGAATTACTTATATTGTCTCCACTATAATATTGTTAGTTTTAAATAAAAGGTGTATACTGTCAAGACGTACACAATGAATTACTTATATTGTCTCCACTATAATATTGTTAGTTTTAAATAAAAGGTGTATACTGTCAAGACGTACACAATGAATTACTTATATTGTCTCCACTGTAATATTGTTAGTTTTAAAACCAAATATATAGACTGTCAATGGCATATAATGAACTATGTGTATTGTCTCCACTGCAGTATTGTTAGTTTTAAAATTAAAGGTGTAAACTGTAAATATATGCAAAACTAACTGCATGTATTGTCTCCACTGCAGTATTGTTAGTTTTAAAATTAAAGGTGTAAACTGCCAAGATGTATATTATTTCCACTGTAGT